AAATTAGAAGTCTGTCATCCTGGACCCTCTTGAAACTGAATTCACGTTCTGGTTGCCTGACTGCACCAGGCAAGTCCCAAGACCCTTCCTGAGATGGAGAAAGGGGGCTCTGGGCCTAGTCGAGGTGGTGTCCTCAGGGCTACCAGCAGGAGGTAGGGGAGGCGGTGCCTCACCATGCCAGGCCCAGCCAGAATTGATCATCTCCTCGAAATCAGGGAAAACCTGTTTCCAAGATCAATTCCCCGGAGGCCCCAGGAGATTAAGAGGATTAGGGAGGGTGGGGACCCCACACCGGGATCCTGTAGCTTCCTGGGCGGGTCCGGGTCACAGAGCCTTGGGGGCAAGGTCCTGTGCGCTCGGCCCGCGCTCGGCCATGGGACCCACGGCGCAGATGGGACGCGTTGCGCCCGCCACCAGGTGCCCCAGGTGCGCGGGACCCCGGGGCACGGCCCCCATTGGGGCCTGGGGCTGGGGGCGCGAGGGGGGTTAACAGAGGGCGCAGGAGCCTCCAGAGCGGGCGTGCACCCCCGGGAAGGCCGGGTTGTGCGCGCGCCGCGGATTCACCAGAACGCAGCTGGAGGCCCATTCTCTGCCCTGCGAGGACGCCGGGCAGAAGAGCTGTGGGGGGCGCAATGCCCCCCCCAGGGTGGGGGATGGGGTAGAGGAGAAGGGGGAAGGGAGAAGGAAAAAGGAAGAGAGTAAGATAAGGGAGGGCCGGAGGAGAGGAAGCAGGAACGCTGCTGGACACGCCCCGGCTGGGTCGTCACAGGCCACGGACGGCAGAGCGCGGCCCAGCTCCCTCCCCGCTGCCTGAGACACGCCCCCTTGGTCGGCGTCCGCGTCTCCAGCGTGGTCGTGTCCCTCCCCCCTCTCTAAGCCACATCCTGTCCAAACCCATCGGCCTCCTCCCCTGCTAAGACACGTCCCCTTGGCCCGTGTCCCCATCTCCAGCGTGGTTGCGTCCCTCCCCCGCTCTCTGAGACACACCCTGTCCAACCCCACTGGTCCCCTCCCCCCGGAGTGCAGCTGTGTCCCCTTCCCCGCTCTCTGAGACATACCTAGTCCAGCCCGCCGTGTCCCCCATCCTCGTGTCCCCCGGAGCGCAGCCGAGTCCTCCCTCCCACACTCTCCCGCCTGGCCCCGCCCTCGACCCCCTACCGCCAACACTAAAACACTCTGTCCCGCCCTGTGAACCCCCACGGAGCGCACTCGTGTCCCCTCCCACCCCATAATCCTCTAAGACACGCCCCGTCCGCCCCTTGGCCCTGCCCACCCGGAGGTCGGCCTGCCCCCCTCAACTCTCAGGCCACTTCCCGTCCCGCCGCGGGTCCACCCCTGTCGCGGTCCCCTCTCCCCCAGCGCGGCGGGGCCGCCCCCGAGTCTCCGGACTGCTGGCGCACCGGGGCGATATCCGGGAACGCGGACAGCCCCGGGTGCCCTGCTGGGTACCCCGGACACGCTGGAGCTTCCAGCCCGGAGCCCGGGAATCGGGATCAGGGCCCCCCAGGCCCGCGTCCCTAGGGTCATGGGGCGGGGACAGCCTGGGGGTGGGCCCGCGGGACGCTCCGAACCCCCGTTACGCACGGTCGCCAGTGCGCTCTGGGCCCTCGCTGGCAACGTGCCTTCCCAATCTGTGCAGTAGGTGTTGGGTCAAAACAGGCGTCTGGGGCACTTTTAATCCCACATTTATCCTTGTCAAATGTAAGTGCCCCCCTGCTCCGAGCCTCCGGGGACCTTTGGCGGAAGGCGCGGTCCAGCCACGCTCGGCCTGCTGACCCGGTGACCCCGGGAAATGAGGGCCAGCCCTGAAAGCCAGCGCTCCACATCGGAGCCTGTCTATTGATGTGAATTCGCCTGAAGCCACATGATGGCAAAGCGGTGGGAAGGAGAGGCCTGGATTAATTCGGTGAAAAAAAAAACCTAACTTGGGCAGACCGTGACTTTCAGAACGAAACGAAAAACAACCCGTTCGGGTTGACCACGGTGTGTCTTATGCTGCAAAAGGAATCAAAAGCTAGTGGCAGTCCCTCGTTCAATCCTAACTGAGTGGTGACGTGTGTGCCTTCCCGGCAAGCTGGTCTGAAATGCCAACTTTTCCCTCCAAATCACGGACGTTGATTTCTGCCTTGTGTTTTTCTCTGCAGGGACTCTAAGCCGGTTCTGCTCATTGTGTGTTTGCTTCTGAGGACTTGCCAATTAAAAGCAGCCGATGCCTTTAAGCCAAATATCCTACTGATAATGGCAGATGATCTGGGCATTGGGGACCTTGGTTGCTATGGGAACGGTACACTGAGGTACAGTGTGGTGCCCGTGGTGTTGCCGGTGGTGTGAGCGTGTGTGTGTGTGTTCGGCTGAAGGATGCATTTAAAATCTGCCTGTGCGCATTAGGAAATTCCTTAGTGCCTCAGATCTCAACGCTGAAAAAATTATTTTTTGACAGGAAAAGAGAGTCCTAACCCTTTCAAAGAATGTAGAACGGTGGTGGGTGGGTGTATTTGTTTCCTGGGGCTGCCATAACAAATTACCACAAGCTGCAAGGCTTAAAACAATTGAAATGTTTGCCTCCCCCAGTCCTGGAGACCAGACGTCTGAGATGAAGGGGTCGCAGGGCCGCACGCCCTGCGGAGGATCCAGGGGAGGGTCCTTCCTGCCTCTTCCAGCTTCTGGGGCTCCAGGCGTCCCTGGGCTGGTGGCCGCCTCCCTCCATCTCTGCCTCCGTCTCCACGTGGCTTCTCCTCTGTGTCTGTGTCTCCTCTTCTGTCTCTGATCAGGACGCTGTCATTGGATTTAGGGCCTCCCTCATCCAGGATGACCTCATCTCAGATCCTCCTCTTAATCACGTCTGCAAAGACCCTGTTTCCAAATAATGTCCCAATCACAAATACTGGGAGTTAGGATGTGGGCAGATATTTTGGGGGGCTGCTGTTCAACCCAGTGCAGTGAGTTTAGTGCACATTCAGAGTATGCAGGGTCCTGTGCCATCCCTACCAGCAGGGATGTGGACGATGCTTGTATGCTGTCTGCACCAGGAGAAAAGGTGAAAAACCTCCTTGTTCCATTTTGTGGGTATTTCTTTTAGGAAGACCGCCCCAGAAGTGAACACACAATCTGCCTCCTAGTAGCTGCCGACTCGGGGACTGGTCCTCACAGAGCAGGGTCTCCATCCTTTTGCGATGGCCTTTCCAAACCAGCAGAAATCTGGGCATCTTCTTTCCTCCCCACTGAGCAGGCCCAGTTATAATTCACAGACCAGACCATTCCCCCATTTATAGTGTACAATTCAGTGGCTTTTAGTATTTTCACAGAGTTGTGTATCCACCACCACCAAGCATTTTAGAATATTTTCACAAACCCCCAAAAAGAACCTCTGCACTCTCTTAGCCATCACTCCCTGTTATGAGCTGAATTGTGTCCCCCAAAATAAATATGTTGAAGCGCTGACCCCCAGGACCTCAGAATGAGTCTGTATTTGGAGATGAGGTCTTTAAAGAGGTGTTGAAGATAAAACGAGGTCATTGGGGGGGCCCTGATCCAATAGAACTGGTGTCCGTATGAGAAGAGGAGATGAGGACACAGACACGCACAGAGGGACGACCATGTGAGGACTCGGGGAGAAGACGGCGTCTACACGCCAAGGAGAGAGGCCTCGGGAGGAACCAGCCCTGTGACACCTGGATCTCGGATTCCAGCCTCCAGGACTGGGAGAGATAAATGTCTGTTGTCTAAGCCACCCAGTCTGGGGTCCTTAGTTATGGAAGCCCCAGGACACTCTCATACACCCCCCAACCCCCAGTCCCTGGCAGCCACTGATCTGTTTCCTGTCTCTGTATTTGCCCCAGGACATTTCATTCAAATGGAATCGTACACAATGTGTCCTTCTGTGTCTGGCTTCTTTCTCCTGACATCATGTTTTCAAGCTCCATCTACTCTGTAGTGGGTCTCAGAACTCCATCCTTTTTTACAGCTGAGTACTATTCCACTCTGTGCGTATGCCTCTTTTCCTTTATCCATTCACTTGTTGATGGATAATTTGGACGCTTTCCACTTTTTGGCTATTAGGAACAACACTGCTATGGACAATCCTATACGAATATTTGTGTGGACACATTATTTTCCATTTCTCTTGGGTGTATCCCCAGGACTGCAATTGCTGGTCATATGTGGTCCCAATACCTTGTTTTACATCGAGGAATTCTGAAGTTTAAACACTACCTCCTGGCAGTATTGACACTGCTTGCGAGTCACCAAAGGAAGTGATCATTTAAATCTAAGACAACCCCTCTGTGGCCTGTGGCTTTCAGTTGACATTAAGAAAACTGCCAAGGGGCCACCCTGGTGGCACAGTGGTTAAGTGCGTACACTCCACTTCGGTGGCCCGGGTTCGCAGGTTGGGATCCTTGGTGTGCACCGACGCACCGCTTGTCAAGCCGTGCTGTGGAGGTGCCCCATATAAAGTGCAGGAAGATGGGCATGGATGTTAGCCCAGAGCCAGTCTTCCTCAGCAAAAAGGAGGAGGATTGGCATCGGATGTTAGCTCAGGGCTGATCTTCACACACAGACAAAAAAAGAAAACTGCCAAGACATTAGATTTGCATGTCTGACACTTTCCATAGGGGGTGGCACCTGAGTTTGTGTCTGTATTCCTTCTCCTTCCACCCAGAATGCAGGCACAATGGAAGCAGGGTCCATGGGGGCATCCTAAAGCTGGCAAAGATGTTCTCTTAATTTAAGTCATTGATTTATAGACAAAAAATTTGAGCCTAGGGTCCCCATGTGGTGCGGCATGCCACGCACAGATGTGGGGCCATGCCCTTCAGCATCTGCCTACTACGAATGTCAAGATTCTTCCAAAATCCACTACACTTACTCCATCTTCAAAATTCTGTTTCCACCGCACTTCCAGCCTGCCTCACAAGCCGGGCACCGCACCTGTAGGAATTCTGCCAAAGCGCTAAGCTAGTAAGGCTGACAGGTGTACCACTTATGCCAGTTTTGGGAGCCACCTGGTTTAGAGACACTGTCTTTGGTTTCAAGGCCAGAGAGCTCCACCCACTAGAAACCATTCTTTGCTTCATCTTTCAATGATTGGCTGTGAAATTATTTAGACTCTTCTAGCACATAAGCTGTTCTCCTGAAGTAAATGAGTCCCGTATAATTATTTCAGGCAACCAGGTTATTAGGAAGTATCTGTCTAAAGATGCTGGGCATATTTTTGCATTCTAAATCAGAGGTCAGCCATCGGCCATCTTTTTTGTTAAAGGACCACACGGTACTATCATAGCTTGTGTGGGACACATAAGGTCTGCGTTGCTCATCCTTCTTTCTTACCTTTTTATTTTTTCCAGTTATTGAAAAATGTAAATACCATGTTTAGCTCCAGAGAGACTTACAAAATAGACCGAGGGCCAGATTGGACCATAGATTGCTGATCTTTGCTCTAAATCATCAAACTTTGAAGTATCTTGAACAGAGGGAGCAGAACTTGAGAAGTCCAGAAGAGATGGGTCCAAAGTCATTTCTACTGGGCTCTGCTTGAAGGTTCCTGGCTTTCATTTGTAGGGGCAGGGTTGTAAACCTCATAACTCCATGTGGGTTTGTGTTAGTAACGCTAGTTCTTTCTTCCGCCAAGAAGTGAGTTGATGCTGGCAGGATGGTATCGCAGAAATTCTGCCTGATAAGAACGGGAAGTTGGAGAAACCGTGAGGTGTGTAATGACTGTGTAGCCCGCTGATGGTCAGGACAGAGGAGGAAGTCTCAAGACTCTTTCTGTGGCCCTGACACTGCTTCTGAGAAACCGTACTATCAGGCACACATTTTGTGGTTCCTTGGGCCTCAGTTTCCCCTTGGTAACATGAGGCCATTGGATGATCCTTTCAGCTCCATCATGCTCAATACGATGCTCTGGCGGCAAAGCCACACCCAGAGATGTGTTAAAGACAGACCAGAGAGTCTGTCAATAAACACAGGACCTGCTCATTCTATTAACATAATAGGAAGAAAAGATCTCTCTTATCTTAGAAAAATCTCATTTACACATTGCCAACTCCTTGTCTTTGCTGAGAGACAGCAGGATATTTCTCAGCATATTGATATCATCCTCAGCTACTCTGATACTTTCTCTCTGTTTTTTTTAAATAAAAATAACTGATTCCTCAGGCCAGAGTGCTATTAATAATAAAAAGAATGCATAAAGGAATGAGAGGAACGCAAGAGTACTATTTTAGGACTACATTTTGAAATCAACCTGATAATGGAATGATATAAATTGACCAAGAAGCACAGATTTTTTTTTTTTAAGAATTATTTCAAGTAGTTTTTTCTTTTTTTTTTTTTTTAGGGAAGATTGGCCCTGAGCTAACATCTGTTGCCAATCTTCCTCTCTTTTTTTTTCTTTTTTCCCCCCAAAGCCCCCAGTAGTTGTATATCCTATTTGTAGGTCCTTCTAGTCCTTCTGTGTGGGACACCACCTCAGCATGGCTTGATGAGCGGTGAGTAGGTCCACGCCCAGGATCCGAGCTGGTGAACCCCATGCCGCCAAAGTGGAAGGCACGAACTTAACGGCTGGACCACCAGGTCAGCCCCAAAGCACAGATGTTTAAATCACATTTATATATATTAAAGAAGTAACATTTTTCCTGTTTGAAGATATCTTTTAACAACAGGGAAAAGACTCTGCAAGAGAAGGTTGCTATATGAGGTTCAAACTTGTGCTTCTCCTCCCGTTCCCCAGTGTAGATAATCATGAAGACATTTGCAAGAGATAAATACTTGATTGATAGATAGTTACTTGGCTAGCTAGATAGACAGACAGGTGAAGGATGGATGGATGGATGGATGGGTGGATGGATGGATGGATGGGTGGATGGATGGATGGATGGATGGATGGAAGGGTAGTAGGTGGGTAGATGGATGGATGGGTGAATAAGTGGGTGGGTGGGTAAGTGGATGGATGGATGGATGGATGGATGGATGGATGGGTGGGTGGATGGGTGGATACATATATGGATGGATGGATAGATTATTGGATATGAGACTAGAGATATAACTTTTTAAAACTGAGAAAAATAGGTCAGAACTGACTATAATTAAATGTAATCAGTACAATTCTATAAGCCCCTATAAATCATATACATAGTTTAGCCAAAAAGCAAGTAAATTCTCACAGTTGGGTTATGAAAAACAACCAGTGGGGGTCCAGAATGGGTGACTTGTAATAACAGCATTTGTATATCAGTTGGCTGCAATTAAAATGTGAGTCAAAGATGACAAAAACTGCCAGAACAATATCAACAGACACAGCTCTTCTTTGAAAACAAAGGCACGGCAGGGCCCCAGCATTCTTCCTGAGAAGCAGGTGTCTGAAACGCGGACTTCAGCTGTGGTTTTCCGTGAAGCCTGGGCATGCAGGAAGCTGAGGGGCCCACAAGCCACAGCTCAGCATTGGAGATAAGAGCTTTGCAAACAAGAGCGTCTGGGACGTTCTCTTAAATATGAGAAAACCCATCATAGGAAAAAGGCTGCCATGGGCGGAAACTGGACTGATGGACGGGAACTGTTGGCAAGTCCGTGATGAATACAGATGTAACCGTGGTCTCTGAGATGCTTGAGCCAGAGCCTGTGGGATGCCACAGTCAGTGGACTTTTCAGGTCACAACGACTCGGCGGTAGCCCCTGCTTTGGTGCTTTCTAGGTACGTGACCAGGGACAAGTGTACAAGCGGCCAAACCTTCAAACTTTCCTTGACTCCTTGCAATTGTAATATCACTCCACTTGCTAAGAAATTGTGAGACTAAACATAACACACGTTATCCAAAAAGTCTTAACATAGCCTTTCCCTTTAATAACCTCAGAAGTATAACTCTTACACATTTACAGCAAACATCTTTTGAGAATTTTGCAGAATACATTTTAAATTTTATTTTCTTTCATCAGGGGATGTCCGCCATCTTCAATCAGAGGGACTGCAACAGCATTAAAAATGTATTCTTTAAAATTTGCATTAAAAGAACGATACATGCTGAAACATTCAGACGATGGTCTCAATGAGTTTGTAGCATTCATGCCTCTGAAGTTCTTGAAGCTGGAAACCTACACTAGTTCTTTGGAATACCTGCTGGCTCACAGTAGTCATTCATTGAGATCAATGACAACTTCTTCATGACTGATCTTAGTTCTAGTTTCCATCCACAAAACCTATGGACAGAGACCATCTGGAACCCCTGGCATCCACTACTCGCAAGCTGTCTTGATCATAGGACATAGAAGTTGGCTTGCATACAAGAAAATAGCATCCATCATCACAAGGTCTCATAGCCTGAAGTTGTTCATATCTTCTCAGCAAAGAGAAAAGTCACTTCTGCATCCTCTTCCTCAATGTTGGGATAACACTGGCACTCAGGCTCTTTTTGGTGGATAACGGTCATGGACCACCCTCAACTCCCTGCGGGGCCCTCCACCAACACCCATGATCTCAGCACGGAAGCCCCCCACCCATGCCCCTAACTACCCTGCAAATATCCCTTTGATCTTGGGACCATTGGCCTTTCCACTTGCCCTATAGGGAAGTTTTAGGCATCGGCCCTCTCGCAGATTCTATTCCTCCAATTTAAACCAGTGCCTGCCATCTCCAGCTCTTTCTCTCTCATCCACTTTCTCTCTGCTATTTAATCCACACACAGTGAATCTTGGTGGCATGGGCAGGAAAGGGTGAATCCTTCTCCATTCCATCAGGAAGACCATTTCCCCAGTGTGTGAGGTAGGGTTTGCTCACAGAGGAGCAAAGAGCAGGAAGACTCCAAAGGTCACAGCTCTGCGAGCACACAGGTTGGGATGGCCCAGCTTCCTGGGTGATGAAAGTCAACAGCAAGACTCTCTGGATCAGAGCAAAATGGTCTACACCTCACAACTCAACACAGCAAGAGCATCGCCCTTGTATGCTTGTCCCCGGCCCTCAAGACCCACGTAGTGACACCGTGGGCCCAGATGGTGACTATGCACTTGGTGGGCTGTACTGCAGCTGAGGACCCCAGAACAAGGGCTCAGCACCTTTTGCAGCAAGCGGTTCTCAAGGCACTCGCCTGACCCTGGGGACTGAGCAGATGTATGCGAGTCACACTATGGTCACCTTGACCTACTGGATCGCCTTCGTGCCTGGTTATGGAAGTGGCTCAGGGGCAGAGGACCCTTTGATTTGGTGCACTCAGCAACACCACGCAGCATTCTTCCAACCAGGACAGCTCCTTTTATCTCCCTCTGAAGGAGGGTCTCTCAACCTCAGCACTATTGATATTTGGGCTGGATACTTCTTTGTCCTGGGAGCCATCCTGTGCATTGTAGGATGTTGAGCAACATCCCTGGTCCCCATCTATCAGGTGCCAGTAGTACCCCCACCCCCTGTAAGTTGCGACAACCAAAAATGTCTCCAGACATTGTAAATGTCTCCTTGGAACTCTTCCGTAGTTGAGAATCACAGCCATAGACAGGCAGTCAGATAGATAGATAGATAGATAGATAGATAGATAGATAGATAGATAAATAGATAGATAGAGAGACAGATAGATAGATAGATAGATAAATTGATGGATAGATAGATTGATAGAGATCAATATAGAGATGGATAGATAGATGATGGATAGATAGATGATAGATAGATAGATAGATAGATAGATAGATAGATAGATAGATAGATGATAGAGATCAATACAGATAGATATAAAGGTAGATGGATGGATAGACAGATAGATAGAGATAGATATAAAGATAGATAAATGGATGGATGGATGGATGGATGGATGGATGGATTGATGGATGGATGGACAGATAGATAGAGATAGATATAAAGATAGACAAATGGATGGATGGATGGATGGATGGATGGACAGATAGAGATAGATATAAAGATAGATAAATGGATGGGTGGATGGATGGACAGATAGAGATAGATATAAAGATAGATAAATGGATGGGTGGATGGATGGATGGATGAATGGATGGATGGACAGACTGTCATTCTAAGGCAGGGTTTCTCAACCTCATCACTATTTAAATTCTGGGCTGGATGACTCTCTGTAGTGGGGTGTTCTGTGCACTGTAGCATGTTGAGCAGCATCCTTTTCTCCACCCACCAGATGCCAGGAGCATCCCCTCTCCCTGAGTTGTGACACCCAAAATTGTCTCCAGACATTTCCGAGTGTCCCCTGGAAAGCAAAGTTGTCCCTGTGGAGAACCACTTGTCCAAAGTTGTCAGCCCCAGAGACATGAAGAAAGGTCTCTAAGATTTTAAGACCTTACCATCCACCGTATGGAACAAAACAACTTTTGAAAGCATCATTTGAAACTAGAATGGGCTGCTCTGTTTCCCCTTAACCAGACACTAGGTGACTGCTTGTCGAGGATGCTATAGAAGGGGTTTCCTGTAGAGTGGAGACTGAGTGAAGTGACTTTGGGGCTCTTACTTGAAATGAGGAGTCTTAATGTCTGACAGCTGCCATCTTCAAAGCCTCACTCTTCCCTCTTGCCTTGTGCCCCACATCTGGACAAGCTGATAAGACCCCAGTGCTCCCTCCTTTGGTGCTAGTGGAAAATTCAAACCACACCAGCCCCTGCCCGTGTGTGGGAACCCTCATCCTGGCCCCATGCCCACACCACAATAATAACCCCGAGCCAGTCTCCTAGCCCCACTCTCTCAAGCCATTGCAGACCCATATGGGAGCCTGCTGGGCTCTCCCCAGAAAGCCGCATTATGTGAGTCATAAACCTCAAACCCTTCTGAGGTGTGTGTGTGTGTGTTTGTGTGTGTGTGTGTGTGAGATATCATTGGTCTCTTTGGAGGGTGGGTCCAAGTGCCTCTGCAGAAGACCATCAGGACACTAATTCCAAAGCCCAGGGAAGTCCCTAAAGTAATATCGATACCCTCCATCCCGATGCCCTTCAATGCAGGGATCTGCTTCAGCTCAATGCACGTGCCCTCTCTGACAATGACATTTGCGTGATTTGCTCAGGACGCCCAATATCGACCGGCTTGCCGAGGAAGGCGTGAGGCTCACCCAGCACCTGGCAGCCGCCCCCCTCTGCACCCCGAGCAGAGCTGCGTTTCTCACGGGGAGACACTCCTTCAGATCAGGTTGGTGGTGTGTGGACGACTGAGAAAAGAGCACTTCTGCATCCACTTGTCTATTGTCCTTAATAATTTGGTAGCGATGGTTGAGATACAGGGAAAATGGTAAAAACATAATCTGCAGTAGCATCGTCTTGTAATTACGTAAAGAATACTGTGTTTTGTGTTTTGTGCAAGAAAAATTGTGAATATCAGGAATTCAGAAGGTGGAAACTCCCCAGTGGGAGCTGATTATGCTGGACATTTTGTTTATTTGGTAAATATTCCAGTCAATCTTGATGTAAAGTCATGATTTCAAATGGCCTCTGAGTGGGTGTGGGAAGCTGCATAATGGCCCCTCCGAAGATGCCACATCCTAATACCCAGAATCTGTGAATATTTCCTTATGGAAGAGGGGACTTTGCAGGTATGACTAAGGATCTTGAGATGGGGACATCATCCTGGATGATCCTGCTGGGCTCAGTGTCATCTCAAGGGTCATTATAAGAGGGAAAGAGGAGAGTCAGAGGCATAGGAGATGTGAGGATGGAAGTGAGAGGTTGGAGTGATGCACTTTGTAGATGGAAGAAGGGGCCAACAGCCAAGGAATGCGGGCATCCTCTAAAAGGAATGCAACCCTGCCAACACCATGATTTTAGACTTCTGATCCCCAGAAATGTGAGAAAATAAATCTGTTATTTTATGGCACCAAATTTACGGTGATTGGTTACAGCAGCAATCAGAAAACTGGTACAGAGGGCCATGTCAAAACTTTTGGTGCAAGGAAAATGGACATGTTCCTCATAGTCCAAGGTATGTATGATGAGAGAGACAGAGAGCAGTAAGACAGTTCAAAATTAATCAAATAACCCCGAAGTTACACCAACATGCACCCAGCAGCATGGCTGGATTGGAAAAGATAGACAGTCCCAAGTGTTGCCAAGAATGTGGAGCAAGTGGAATTCCTCGCACACTGGCGGTGGGGGTATACACTGGTGTAACCACTTTGGAAATTTTTCAGCATCTGCTTAAGCTGAATGCATGCATGCCCCATGACCCAGCAATTCCTAAGTATGTGCCCAACTTATATGCACATGTATGCTCTACAAAAGACAGGGATGCAAACCTTCACAGCAGCACTGTTTGTGAGACCCAAATACAGAAACAGTTAATCAACAGAAGAATGGAGTAATAAACTGTGGTATATTCACACACTGGAATATTATTCTATTATTCTGCTATGGCTGCCATAACAAAGGACCATAGGCTGAGCGGCTTAACGCAACAGACATTCATTTCTCATGGTTCTGGAGGCTGGAATCTGAGATCCAGGTGTGGGCAGAGCTGGTTCCCCCTGAGGCCTCTCTCCTTGGCGTGTAGACGCCGTCTTCTCCCCGTGTCCTCACGTGGTCGTCCCTCTGTGTGTGTCTGTGTCCTCATCTCCTCTTCTCATAAGGACACCAGTCCTATTGGATCAGAACCCACCCCAGTGACCTCATTTTACCGTCATCACCTCTTTAAAGACCCATCTCCAAATATAGTCACAGTCTGAGGTCCTGGGGGTTAGGGCTTCACCCACTAGGTGCTAATAGCAACCACTCTCCCACCCTTCCTGAGTTGTGACTAACCAAAAATGCCTCCAAGTATTGCCAAGTGTCTCTTGGGGGGAAGAATCACCTTTGGTTTGGAACCACTGCCTTAGATAGGTGGTTGATAGATTGATGATAGATAGTTAGTAGACAGATAGATAGATAGAAAGTAGATAAATGGAGGGATACATAGATAGATAGGTAGGTAGATAGAGAGATAGATAGATAGATAGATGATAGACTGATGGACAGATAGACAGATGATAGATATATGATCTATAGATGATAGATATAAGATAGATAAAAATAGAAAATTGATATATAAATAGAAGATAGATTAGATAGATAGATAGATAGATAGATAGATAGATAGATATAAATAGATGATAGATATATAGATAGATGGATAGATAGATAGATGATTGGTGAACAGACAGAATGTCTCATGACAAGGCCCAGGGTTTCTCAACCTCAGCTCTGTTGACATAGACATTCTCTGTGGTGGGGGCCATCCTGTGCACTGTAGAGTGTTTCCACCCACTAGATGCTAGTAACACCCTCTCCCAGTTGTGGAAACCAAAATCAATTCCAGGCACTATAAAGCGTCCACTGGTGGGGGGTCAGAGTCTCCTCAGTTGAGAACCCCAGTGTAGCCAAGGGATGGTGAATGCTTCCTCTGCACTCTGCTTCACAGGCATGGAAGCCAGTGATGGATACCGGGCACTCCAGTGGAACGGGGGCTCGGGCGGCCTCCCTCAGAATGAAACCACATTTGCCAGAATCCTGCAGCAGCAAGGTTATGCAACGGGCCTCATCGGTGAGGTGACGCACTACACTCGTGCATGGTTGGGAGGATCCTGAGCGTGATCTTTGACCAGTGATCATAATCATTTGGTGGTTAGGAGGATCGATGATCAAAAAGAACCTGTTTTCCAAGAAGGGAAGAAAGTCATGTGTCAAAACCCAAATTTGGTGCACCATCTATCTGATCCCTCTTGGATTGTTCACAGTGTTGGAATTTTTGTCAATTGACAAACAATTTTCATTCAAATCTTGCTCTACTGGCCTCTTTCCTTCTCTGGACATGTCAACCTTCTCCTCTCCTCAGAAACTTCTAGAGGCTATCTTTCCTTGCATGGCCACCCACCACCTCGAAACCCTGCGAGTTAATAATCACTGCCTTCCTTTACATAACACACCCAGGGAGGGTCAGAAGCTCCTTCATTATACAGGGGGATGTGTTTGGGGTCCCCAAGACCACGCTTAAGTTTGATTATTTGCTAGGAGGACACAGACTCAGCATACAGTTGGACTCATGGTTGTGATTTATTACAGTGAATGGACACAGAGCAAAGATCAACAAGGTAGATGGATGGATGGATGGATGGATGGATGGATGGATGGATAGATAGATAGATAGATAGATAGATAGATAGATAGATAGATAGATGCATAGGGTGAAATCTGGGGACACCAGGCAGAAGCTTCCAGACTCTTCTCCCACTGGAGGCACACAAGATGCACTTAATTCCTCCATTAGTGACTTGTGACGACACATGTGAAACGTTGTCACCAGGAAGTTCCTTGGAGACTCAGTGCCCAGGGTTTAGATTGGGGGCTGGTCATGTAGGACCTGTTGCCTGGAGTCTACCAAAATTCCAGCCTCCTAGAAGGAAACCAAGTGTTCTGCAAAAACTATACTGTTTGTGCAAAGAGTTTAGACACAGGGAGTCATGCTTATCATTTAGGGAATGAGGGGAAGCCTCTGAAAATCCAGTTCTCAGCATTAGCCAGTGGGCAACCTTGTAAGACAGCTTTTCTAAGGATGGCAGTGTCAGATCTCCTAGGTTACCTCTTTTCCACACAGAAAGGACGGGAGGAAGAGTTGGTACCCAACTGTCAAGGACCAGACACTCTGCTTGTTACGGCTTTCATGCCTTGCTCCACCTGTGAATCTAGAAGTAGCATCCCAATCTTACACACCAAGGAATGCAGGTGGTCTGCCCCGACCCCACAGTCGAAGGAGGCCTGGGTCAGATCTGTGGACAGGGTGCCCCCATCAATTCCTCACCGCATTCTTCCCACACTCAAGGTCACTGTTCAGTTCAGAGCAGACTGTGACACCCCTGCTTTGTCAAGGCTGAGATTGATCAGGAGGTGATAATCATTGTTCCACTTTTTAAAACTTCCTGCTACCTTAGAAATAGGGATTATATAAATTTATTTCTCACAATTCTGGAAGCTAGAAGTCCAAGATCAAGGTGTCAGCTAATTCAATGTCTGGTGAGGACTTGCTTCCTGGTTCATAGACGCCATCTTCTTTTGTGTCCTCACGAGGTGGAAGGGGAGAGAGAGATCTCTGGGGTCTCTTTAATAATGGACCTAATACCATTCATGGGGGCTCCACTCTCGTGACCCAATAGCCTCCCAATGGCCCCACCTCCCAACACCATCACTTTGAGGGTTAGGATTCCACATATGTATTTTGGAACATTCAGTCTGTAGCATATCCCATCTCCAAGGGCTTTTTCAAGGACATTTCACACACCTACATTCTCATCTTCATTTCTCTTTTCAATCCTAAGAAGAAGAGCCAGCCTTCTTAGCCACCTGAATTGACTAGAACTTTCCACGAGTGACTCCCCACCATTGGGTCAACGTGCCTGATTCCTTAGCCTTCCGTGTATCTCCTACTCTGTGGGTAAAATTGTTTTTAACTGGATAAGTGCATTTATTTTTGTGTGTACTAGAATTGTAGACCTGTGCATCAATTCTTGGTCCACACACTCAGTCTGTATTTGGAGAAGGCAGTTCTTCATGTTCCAAATGCTAGAAAGCTTTTGAGGTGGGGAGAACCTCCTGCCTGGTTTTCTTCTCCACAATCCTCGCCACATTCCAGAATGTTTGTTTCCTTGAATGTGAACAGGGAAATGTAGGTGGGTCTCTGGGTTTGGAACTAGAACAGATTCCCAGATTCCTACAGGTTCTGAAGACGGCGTGTGGGTGGTGAGAGGGATGAGGGGGACAGGCACTTGGTTTAACTTCGTCACTTGGAAGTTACGGCAAATAGTACATTGGAGCCTTTTCTATCCTGTGTTGTAGCTACATTTAAGCTGGCTGAGGGTCCAGGGCATATGAAATAGAAAGTGCCCATTGACAGCCCAATTCTTGGACATTCTCCTCGAATTTGAGAAGTGGGAGTCTTCGTGTTCCATCTCTACCGTGTTGTTATAAGAGTTATTGCCTCAAAAAAAAAAATCTACAAGGGTTTCTTTTTTTTTTTTTTTTTATTGATGTTTTAATGGTTTCTAACATTGTGAAATTTTGGGTTTTACATTTTTGTTTGTCCATCACCACATATATGACTCCCTTCACCCCTTGTGCCCACCCCCCACCCCCACTGCCCTGGTAACCACAGTCCAGTTTTCTCTGTCCATGTGTTGGTTTATATTCCACATATGAGTGAGATCATACAGTGTTTGTCTTTCTCTTTCTGGCTTATTTCACTTAACATAATACGCTCCAGGCCCATCCATGTTGTTGCAAATGGGACGATTTTGTCTTTTTTTATGGCTGAGTAGTATTCCATTGTATATATATACCACATTTTCTTAATCCAATCGTCAGTCGAGGGACACTTAGGTTGCTTCCACTTCTTGGCTATGGTGAATAATGCTGCATTGAACATAGGGGTGCATAAGCTTCTTTGGATTGTTGATTTCAGGTGCATTGGATAGATTCCCAGTAGTGGGATGGCTGGATCATAGGGCATCTCTATTTTTAATTCTTTGAGAAATCTCCATACCGTTTTCCATAGAAGCTGCACCAATTTGCATTCCCACCAGCTGTGTATGAGGGTTCCTGTTTCTCCACATCCTCTCCAACACTTGTTGTTTTTTGTCTTGGTGATTATAGCCATTCCAACGGGCGTGAGGTGATATCTTAGTGTTGTTTTGATTTGCATTTCCCTGATGATTAGTGATATTGAGCATCTTTTCATGTGCCTATTGGCCATCTGCATATCTTCCTTGGAGAAGTGTCTGTTCATTTCCTCTGCCCATTTTTTGATCGGGTTGTTTGTTTTTTTGTTGTTCAATTGTGTGAGTTCTTTATATATTATGGAGATCAACCCCTTGTCAGATGTATGTTTTGCAAATATTCTCTCCCAGCTGGTTGGTTGTCTGTTCATCTTGATTCTGGTTTCATTTGTCTTATAAAAGCTCTTTAATCTGATAAAGTCCCACTTGTTTATTTTTTCTTTAGTTTCCCTAGTCTGGGTAGGCACGTCATCTGAAAAGATTCCTTTAAAACCAATGTCAAATATTGTGTTGCCTATATTTTCTTCTATGAGTTTTATAGTTTCAGGTCTCACCTTCAGGTCTTTGATCCATTTTGAGTTAATTTTTGTGAATGGCGATAGCACATGGTCCACTTTCATTCTTTTGCATGTGGCTGTCCAGTTTTCCCAACACCATTTATTGAAGAGACTTTCCTTTCTCCATTGCATGTTCTTAGCACCTTTGTTGAAAATTAGCTGTCCGTATATGTGTGTTTTTTTTTCTGGGCTTTCAATTCTGTTCCATTCTTCTGTGTGTCTGTTTTTGTACCAGTACCATGCTGTTTTGATTACTATTGCTTTGTAGTATGTTTTGAAGTCAGGGATTGTGATGCCTCCTGCTTTGTTCTTTTTCTTTAGGATTTCTTTAGCTATTCGGGGTCTTTTGTTGCCCCATATAAATTTTAGTATTCTTTTTTATATTTCTGTGAAGAATGTCATTGGGATTCTGATTGGGATTGCATTGAATCTGTAGATTACTTTAGGTAATATAGACATTTTAACTATGTTTATTCTTCCAATCCACGTGCATGGGATATCTTTCCATTTCTTTATGTCATCATGGATTTCCCTCAATAATGTCTTGTAGTTCTCATTGTATAGGTCCTTCACCTCCTTGGTAAGGTTTATTCCTAGGTATTTTATTCTTTTTGATGCAATTGTAAATGGTATTATCTTTTTGAGCTCTCTTTCTGTTAGTTCATTATTAGCATATAGAAATGCAACTGATTTTTGTAGATTGATTTTGTACCCTGCAACTTTGCTGTAGTTGTTGATTGTTTCTAATAGTTTTCCAACAGATTCTTTAGGGTTTTCTATATATACAATCATGTCATCTGCAAATAGTGAGAGTTTCACTTCTTCGTTACCTATTTGGATTCCCTACAAGGGTTTCTTGATTAATAGTTAGCAGAGGGAGCCAGTTACTTCTGCTGTGCCCTAAGATTATATACGAGCCAACTCCCATTACTAAGTGGCTTCCTTTTAAGTCAAAGATATTGATAAATGATATTTTGTAAATTATTTAATAGCGAAATGATCTAAGGTTGCCAGCTTGCAATCCCAAACGCTCCAGAACATCTTAAACCTTTAATCGCTTAATAAGGGTCGTTCAGTTGATTCGTTCATTAGTATTCATGAAGCGTAATGCATCCGTTTAAACAGTCGTATCAAATAAACTCATTTTATTCCTTTATCTTTCAAAGTTCCATTATATTCCTTGTCCATTTCAAGTTTTGCTGTTTGCATACCTACCTTTTCATCACAACATCCAGATTCTTCTGAGAAGGTGATCCGCATCAGATGAGTACCGTACATGTATGTTTTTGCTTAACTTTTTGCTTTTATTTTCAGGAAAATGGCACCAGGGTGTGAATTGTGAATCCCGCACCGACCACTGCCACCACCCACTCAACCACGGATTTGACTATTTTTTCGGCATGCCTTTCACGCTCGTGAATGACTGCCACCCAGACAGGCCCCCGGAAGTGGACGCCGCCACGCGAGCGAAACTCGGGCGTTACACCCAGTTGCTGGCCCTGGCGATACTGACCGTTGCGGCCGGCAAGACCTGCGGGTTACTCTCCGTGTCCTGGAAGGCGGTCATGGGCGCGGCCAGCCTCATCTTCCTCTTTTTCGTCTCCTGGTACGCCAGCTTTGGGTTCGTGAGCCGCTGGAATTGTATCCTGATGAGAAACCATGATGTCACAGAGCAGCCCATGGTTTTGGAAAGGACGACCAGTCTTATGCTAAAGGAAGCAGTTTCCTACATTGAAAGGTAATAAAACCAGAGGTGACGAGTTCTCAGAGCGTCTGAGATCATCTTTGGGATTTCCTAGATGGATTGGAAGAATTGAACCTTTTCAAATGGATTGGTTCTCAAAACTTGAGTCTCTACTTTGAAGGAATGTCAGGGACCAAAAGGTGTTGAGACAGATGCTATTATATTTTAAGGGTGGTTTTCTCCTTTCAGAAATAAGCACAGACCGTTCCTGCTGTTCTTTTCCTTGCTGCACGTACACATCCCCCTTGTAACCACAAAAAAGTTTCTTGGGAAAAGCCAGCACGGCTTATATGGTGACAACGTGGAGGAGATGGACTGGCTTGTAGGTAAGTCAAGGCAAGAGCCAGGCTCACTCACTCCCGGCCTCACCCCTAATGGATGGAGACAGACTGGCCGTCTTGCTGTGAACCGGGTTGCAATAAAGAATAAGAGAAAAGACGAGGAACAACAAGAAAACTCTCCCGTCTCATTCATGTGCTCCTTCGACATTTCCGATTTCTTAGTCTACTTTTGCACAAAATCCTCCTTCTACAAAGTCCGTTATTCAAAGCCATCATGAGACATGACAGAAAGTGAAGCAGGAAGGCTCTCATTCAGGACAGAGGAGCCAAATTGCTTTCCTTCTATGGCTTCGAGAAAGCCCAGGGAGAACCAGCAAGCTTGTAGACTCTGAGTAGAACGTAGACGTTGAGATCCTTGCCGACAGCCGTGATCACATGTCCTGACCAAGCTTAGTGATGCATTGAGCCAGGTAAAGAGTCAAACCACCCCAAATAGGATGGTAACAACCTGCCTTTCATTGGGACAAATGCCCATGTGGTTTACAATCTTTATTTTCAGTGCTTTCGATGTCCATGTGGCTTCCATGGATAAGCGATTGCTTGGTTTGCAGGCGGCTCTGTGTGCTGAGTCTTGGCCGCCATATGCAAACACCCACAGAGGTTCACGGCCATGGCTTACTCATGTATCAACAGGAATCTCCTCTCTCACTGTTTCTCACCACATTCCCGCCCCCACCCACTGATTACAAACATGTGTACACACGGAACCATTGCATGTCTGAAACATTCCATTGGTGACATCCTGGCTTTATCCATTTATTCTGTTTTCTGCATTGGTGGTACCTTTGTAAGCAAGATTCTGAATCCCATGGTATCGGAACCATCAGAACCGCCTTCACACTTGGCGATTCCATTCATCACTACAGTCTCTGGGGCACTGTGGTCCCCTCTGATGGCCCTCTAGCAAGCGGTGAGGTTTACAGAGAGGGGGAATTGGGTTGAATTAGCCAATGCTACATTGTCCTTAAATGTTCTATTTTTCATAAAGGTGAAATTCTTAACGCTGTCGAAGAGAATGGTTTGAAAAACACAACATTCACGTATTTTACCTCAGACCACGGAGGGCATTTGGAGGCAAGAGATGAACATGGCCAGCTCGGGGGATGGAATGGAATATACAGAGGTAAGACCGACGGACGTGGGGGCTAAAAGGCAGATATGTGATCAACCAAATGACTCCCACCAATGAAGGCTGAAGAAGACATGGAAGTCATAAAGACGATGCTCTTTCAAAGGGGATTCCTTGAGCATCGGCTATAGACCACGTTCTACCTAGATGCCGAGATAGAGAGATAAAGACACGGACCCTTCCCTTCCAGCGTTCACATTTTAGTAAAAGAGAGACATATACAAATAAATAATTAAGATAAAATTAAAATAAATACCGTTCTAAAGTAGCATAGTGACTATATTCCCAGTTGTATCTGTCCTTGTATTTCAGCATATCAGTCAAATTTAGGGTACAATACTTATACATTACTATTTTTAAAAAGTCTGACTCAGTCAATCTAGATTATTCATGGGTTCCATCTCTGCGAATTCTCCTACTTGCTAAAATGTCTTTGTAACCCCCAAACCAATACTTCTGCTGCTTTCCCAGTTGTTGGAGGAGTGGCAAAAAAATTGAGTTGCCCAATGCCCACATTCCCAGCCAAGGCTGGACAAGGCAACGCTCTGACTTCTTGTTTCAGCTCTCAGCCTGTCAACAAGCATCCTTTCTGTGGTCTATTTAGTGCCACATTTGTACATTTTTCTTGGAGATTTCACTATTTAAAACATAGCACTGAAGAACTTTCTTGTGCTCCTGAGCACAAAAAGGCTGCTACGTGCCTTATGGAGAAAATGCGTGTGTGAGATGAGCTTCCTCCAGGCAGGAATTATAGTGCCATTGACTATGAGCTCAATGTTGATGAATCAACAATAGAAATGCAATAAGATGCCTTTAAATAGAAACAGATATAAACAAGGTTAGCTATTGATTGGCTAATGAAAATATAGAGACCAGAGGCTCACAGGAACCTGGCTCTGTATTACCCCTAGGAGCAGTGGTTCAGTACTTGCTAATTCAGTGTTTGTGGCGACTTTGTAGAACATAATTACGGGCAATGATGAGAATCGACTGTCTATGAACCTGTTACATCTCGAGAAATTCCCACGTCTACGGCTGTGTTAGGCAGAACTCTAATAATGGCCCCACCAAAACGTTCCTCGCTGACCCCCACCATCTGTGACTATGATGGGCTCTCACTCCCATGATTGCACTGTGTAACACGGCACCTTCGGTAGGGAGATGATCTGGGTGGGCCTGGCCTAATCAGGTGAACCCTTAAAAACAGAGAGCTTTCTCCAGCTGATAAAATAGGAGAAGTGAGAGAGGTTGGAAGCATGAGAAGGATTCAACAAGCCGTTGATGCTTTGAAGATGGAGGGGAGAAGCGCTCAACAAGCCATTGATGCTTTGAAGATGGAGGGGCCACGTGAGAAGAAAGGCAAGCAACCTGGAGCAGTTAAGGGTCCCCCAGCAAGGCAATGGGGATCTCAGTCCTACAGCCACAATGAACTAGATTTTTCCAACCACCTGAACAAAGGTGGAAGTGCATTCTTCCTCTGATCCTCCATTTAGGAGCCCAGACAGCCGATGCCTTGATTTCAAATTTGTGAGTCCGAGAACAGAGCACCCAGCCATGCCGTGCCACATTCCAACCCACAGAACTGAGACCGATAAGTCGGTGTTGTTTTAAGCTGCTGAGTTATAGTAACTTGCCACACAGCAACAGGAAACTAATGCAATAGCAATAAAGCTTTGACTCCAATAAAACAGCATTTATTTAGCGGGATTCTGAACACATCTTTCCCTGCTTAAAATTCTCCCACCATCACATGCTGTTGTTTTAATTCCCATATCCAGAGTCGCTAGGGGGTGTGAGCACGTGGTCTAATGCTTAATAGTTATTTGCATTTCACCAACAGCCAGCCTGGGCCCCATCCATTCCCGGAGCTCCCTGGGAGGGTGGCCTTAGAGATGGAGAAGGACTAGGAGAGAGAGAGTAAAGAGACAGGTAGAAGGTATGCTCAAGAGAGGAGAGGAGGAGGAAGGTACTCAGACCAATCCCCAGTCCATCCAGAAAGAAAAAGAGAATAGGAAGATGAGGGTGACCAACCGTCCATTTGCAGGAAATCCGCATACCTCTGGTATCCTTAAAGCCACACATCCCTCATCCTCTCCGTTGGGCCGGCCACGGAGACCCGCTGAATTTCAAAGAGAGAGGATGTGGTCTCCACCTGCTGTGCCCTGGTGTGTGTCTACACTGGTCAATCTCCTGCCGAATCCTAACGACGTCGCTTACTTACAGGTGGCAAAGGCATGGGCGGCTGGGAAGGCGGGATCCGCGTCCCTGGGATATTCCGGTGGCCCGGGGTGCTGCCGGCCGGCCGAGTGATCCGTGAGCCCACCAGCCTGATGGATGTTTTCCCCACCGTGGTCCAGCTGGGGGGTGGCCAGATACCCCAGGACAGGTACACGTGCATTGAAACCACCTGCTCCCTAATTCCTGAGAGCTCTCCCTTCACTCGGTCACATTTAGGAGAAAAAACCTACAACAACGTGAGAACATTTACAAAATTCTCACATCCTCAAATGTAGGGGATGGTCTAATGTAAACTAACCATACCTAGCAAAACATAAGATTAAGTAAAATATTGGGTCAAGCTACTTGTTTTGCAGTTTTGCTAAAAATTTTAGACCTCAGTATAACAATGGGAGATTAGAAATTAGAATGCGATTCGTTAAAAAACATCTCCCTGTAATTTCCTGAAATACAGTCTTGCTCATATGTTGATGAAGCTGTGACAATATGATTTAAAAATGATTTATCCCTCGATATTAGCACATTGCCAATGAATCAGTCTATTGTAAGAGAGAAAAATAGAAGTCAATATTTTAATAATGATTTGATGTTACTCCACTTAAGAGAACAAATATATACTTCTGTGTAAGGGATAATAATACGAGGTAGTCTATCTCCAACTTTGCACCCACCAAAAAAAGCATTTTATTATATTAGTGTATCATCAGAGTTCTCCAGAGAGATGGAACCAATAGGATATGTGAGGATGTATGTATGTGTGTGTGTGTGTCTGTATAAAATAAGACATTTATTTTAAGGAATTGGCTCATGCGATTGTGGAGGCTGGCAAATTGAAATCCTTACGTGAAGCCAGTAGGCTGGAAACTTGGGCAGAATTTGTGTTACCGTCTTCAGGCAGAATTCTATCTTCTTTGGGAAACCTCAGTCTTTGCTCTGGACAGCCTTCAACTGATCAGATGAGGCCCACCCTCATTTTCAAGGGGATCTGCTTTACTCAAAGCCCACTGACTGTAGAGGCTAACCACCTCTACAGAATACCTTGATAGCAACACCCAGACTGGTGTTTCACCAAAGAACTGGGTCATCTTCTAGCCAAGTAGACACGTAAAATTGAACCATCACAATTAGGATACAATTAAAAATAAACAGCTAATGGTGCTTTACCATTGTAAGGAACGTACTCCATTTCCACATTGAATTCAGATTAAGGACTTTTGAAAATTATACATTGTGTGTAAGGAAGGACTGCCAGGTCATGTGTCCGTCACTGGCTTCCCTCGTCCAGCTCCTTTATACATGTGACAACACATCTTGGAATCTGTTATGATTTAACAGCTTTCTTCTACCCTAGCACTCAACCTAGGGGCAAGGATCGTCTAGTTGGAATTTAAGAAGACTTTGTGTTAACATCTGAGGTCAGAATGGTGTGTGTTGGTGCATGTGTGTGCGTGCATGTGTGTGTTCTGTGTGACAAATGATCCATACTTAGTGACTTTGTGTCTTAATGCAACAACATGTATCTTGCTCAGCAACTTGCAACCTGGCAGTGCTCGGAGAAACAGCTCATCTCTGCTCCACTCCCTGTTATCTGGGACCCTTGCAGCCTTGGAGTTTTATTCACAGGTGCAAAATGCAGCTCGAATGGCCTTGGTCTGATTCCTTCCTGGGCTCTCTTCACTGAATCAGGGTGATGGATGGCCGTAGCCTGGTGCCCTTGCTGCGGGGAGCTGCTGAGCGCTCGGAGCACGAGTTCCTGTTTCATTACTGTGGGACATACCTCCACGCGGTGCGCTGGCATGACAAGGACCGTGAGTGCATGCCTTACCCCAGACGCAGTGGGGGCTTGTGTTAGCCAGCATGCTCCAGAGAAACAGAACCAAGAGGATGTGTGGATGGACGGATGGATGATAGATAGAGAGATAGATGGATGGATGGATAGATGGATAAATGATAGAGGGATGAATAGATCGATGATAGATGGATGATAGATACATAGAGAGAGAGAGATGATGGATGGGTAGATAGATAAATGATAGATGGATGAATAAGTAGATAGATAGATAGATAGATAGATAGATAGATAGATAGATAGATAAATAGATAGATGATAGATTGATGAATAGATGCATAGATGATGGATGGATGAATGGATAATGAATGAATGGAAGATAGATGAAAAGATGGGTGGATAGATAGGTAGGTAGGTAGGTAGATAGATAGATAGATAGATACATGCATACATACATACATACATACGTACATACATACATACATAGATACATAGATATATAGATGGATACATGGATGGATGGATGGATGGATGGATAGATAGATAGATAGATAGATAGATAGATAGATAGATAGATAGATAGATGTGGCTGAATAGATAGATAGATATGGATGAATAGATAGTTAGATGATGGATGGATGGATGGACGAATGGATAATGGATGGATGGATGAAAGGATAATGGGTGGATGAAAGATAGATAATGAAAAGATAGATGGATAGATAGATGATAGATAGGTAGATAAATAGACGATAGATAGCTAACTAGCTAGAAAGATGATGATGATAGAGAAAGAGAGAGATTGACTGATTGATCGATTGATTGATGGATTTTAAGGTATTGGCTTACCTGGCTGTGGGGGCTGGGAAGTCCAAAATCTGCAGGGCAAGCTGGCAGCCTGTCAGGACTTAATGCTGCCGTTTTGAGTCCAAAGGCTAGAAACTCGGGTAGAACTTCTACGCTGCCTTATGGAGGCAGAATTCCTTCGTCTTTGGCCACCCTCAGAGATTTTCTCTTAAATCCTTCAACCAATTGGGTGAGGCCTACCCACCTTACAGAGGGCAATCTGCTTTCCTCCGAGTCTGCTGATTTCAATGTTAATCTTACCTTAAAAAAAAATACCTTCAAGGTGACATCTAGACTAGTGTTTGACCCCATGTCCGGGCAGCTTAGTTTGGCCATGTTGACACACCACATTCACCATCAAAGAGCAAATCCCTTTCTTAAAAGCTGAGAAGGATCACTGGAGATCTCAGGGAGGGCGGCCGATGGTGCCCGGCCACAATTACAGAGGAAGGGATATGCTGGCCCTGCTCCGTGCCATCCTATGATTGGCTTTATCTGCGATGGATCCAAATGAGCCCGTTGAGGATGTAGCAAGACCTGTGTCAATCATGCTACTGATACATCCTACTTGCTTCTGTTTATAAAAGTAATACAGGGACATTAAACAATTGAAAAATAGGGAAAGGGTAAGAGCAAACTGAGAACAGCGTCTAGGATTCGAATCCCGCACACACACTGATTTGACAACCTCTATGGCAACGTTGCACAGGCCCTCTGTATTCTCTTCTCTTTTGATTTGATGTGGGATGTTGAGGATGCTTCCCCGGTGCTGCTACCTGAGTCAGGTGTTCACTCTCCATCAGATTTCCCCTGCCCCGACCACTTTCCTGTTTGCATCCAGGAGGAAGACTCTGGAAGGTCCATTACACGACGCCACGGTTCCACCCCGAGGGAGCGGGCGCCTGCTACGGCCGGGGCGTATGCCCCTGCTCCGGGGAGGGCGTGACCCAGCACCGCCCCCCATTGCTCTTTGACCTCTCCAGGGACCCTTCCGAGGCACAGCCCCTGACTCCCGGCTCCGAGCCTCTGTACCACGCGGTGGTGGCCAGGGTGGGCGAGGCGGTGGTGGAGCACAGGGAGACCCTCAGTCCTGCGCCCCCACAGTTGTCGCTGGGTAACATCGTGTGGAAGCCATGGCTGCAGCCGTGCTGTGGAACCTTCCCCTTCTGCTCCTGTGACCGGGACGGAGACCACAGTGAGACGTGACCTCATGTTAGTCGGAAGGTTGCCGTCAAAAAGACAGCACATAATGCATATTGATCAGGATGTGGGGAAAAGGGAACCCTTGTGCGCTGCTAGTGGGAATGTAAGTTGGTGCAGCCACCGTGGAAAACAGTATGGACATTTCTCAAAAAATTAAAAATAGAAATACTATACAGTCCAGCTATCCCACTACTGTGTATTTATCCAAAGAACTTGAAATCCACAATTCAAAGAGGCTTATGCACCCTTATGTTCATGGCAGCATTATTCACAGTAGCCAAGATGTGGAAGCAACGCAACTGCCCATGAACTGATGATTGGATAAAGAAAATGTGGTACACTATGGAATACTACTCAGCCTCAAAAAAGACAAAATCATCCCATTTGCAACAGCATGGATGGACCTCAAGGGTATGATGTTAAGTGAAATAAGCGAGACAGAGAAAGACAAACACTGTATGATTTCACTCATATGTGAAAGATAAACAAACATATGGACAAAGAGAACAGATTAGTGGTTATCAGAGGGGAAGGGGGTTGGGGGGTGGGCAAAAGGGATAAAGGGCACATATATATGGTGACTGATAAATAATAACGTACGCTTGAAGTTTCACAATGTTATAAACTATTATGACCTTAAAAAATAATAAAAAAAAGAAAATATGGTGTATATACGGTGGAATATTATTCAGCCATCAAAAAGAAGGAAATCTTGCCATTTGCAACAACAAGGATGGACCTAGAAGGCATTATGCTAAGTGACGTACGTCAGACAGAATGACAAATGCTGTATGATCTCACTTATATGTGGAATCTTTAAAAAAATGAGGTTTTAGAAGAAGATAGTAGAATGGTGGCTACCAGGGGAGATGGAGAGATGTTGTTCAAATGGTACCAATTTCCAGCTATAAGATGAATAAGTTCTGGGGATCTGATGTCCAGCATGGTGACTCCAGTTAAGAAAACTGTATTATGTACTTTAAAGTTGCTGAGAGAGTGGATCTTAAATATTCTCACCACATACACAAAAATGATACAACGTGAGTTGATGAATGTGTCAATTAGCTTCATTGTGGTGATCATTTCACAATGGATACATGTATCAAACCATCACACTGTATCTTAAATAGATGCAGTCTTATTTGTCAATTATACCTCAATGAAGCTGGGAAAAAATTTTTTTTAAGACTGGGGACTGCTCCCCCAAAGGCTGGGACCGTAAGGGAGGACCCAGGAGACAATGACCAATGGAAAAATAATCTGCCACGTTGGGCCTAACTTAGGTCTACCTTTTGCGAGGAGCGTGTGCTAGGCAGGGAGTGAATCTCAGTTTTCTCGTCTCTGAAATAAGAGGATCACGGTGGACACCCGATAATGCCCCCTCTTCCTCTTCTTCTAAAGCTCGGGGGTTATTGTAGGGCCGATGTCTGATATTTTTCCCCTTGAATCCTAATGCATCCTTGGGCTTTCATTACCTCCATGAACAGCCTTACAAAATGGCAGGCAAATCTATTCATGCCTACTCTTTTCGAGGGACAAGGAAAGACAAAACAGCTCCGTGTCTGCTCTTGAGGAATCGCTGATCTCAAATGGTTGAGAATTTCATGAGTTAGAAATTGGTTTGGGCTGCTGGTAACAGACACTAGGAATCAGAATGCCATAAACAAGAAAGGGGTGCTCTTCCAGCTACCATGAGGTCCAGAGGGAAGCAACCCAGCGCTGGCAGCCTCTTTCCCATTCCCTGCTCTACCGTCCTTAGCACATGGAGTTTACCTCGTCGTCTCAAGGTGGCTGCTGCAGCTCCAGGCAGCACACAGACACTCCAGGCAGCAGGAAGGAGGAAAGAACAAGAGCAGAAGGGCGTTCCTTCCGGCTGAGTCACTCTCTGTGAAGGGGATTATCCAGAAGCCCCAAACTCACGACTTCTACTCCCAGTGGTCACCCATAGACACAACTGGAAATTGAGAAAGCACTCTTTCAGGTGGGCTGCCCCAAATAAAATCAGGGTTCGGCTCATCAGAATGAAGGTGAGAGCTTTCTTGAGTCGAACAAGGTTTTTGATGCACCATTTTGTCGCCAAATTAAATTATTTATTTAGCAAATGATTGCCCAAAAAGTGGGTGAAATCTGGAGGGAAGGTTTTACCTTGGGCACAGGGGCAGACTCAGGAGCATTCAGGCAGAGAGAGAGAGCTCAGAGCTTACATGCCTTGAATACCTAAGCTGTGACCTGCGTTTTCCTTAAATCAATTCCAGCGTGTCATCGTCACACCCACCCCAGTGGCTTGTCCGTCTCACAGAGATGATGGAGGTATGGTGCTCACTCACGCGTGGAGGTGCCCGGCACAGCTGGGGCTCCCGGCCCCAGATCTCGCATTTGGGGGTATCTTGCTCTGTTCCCCTGTTTTCATCGGGGTCCTAGCTGGAAGTACACAGGACCCTCAAAAAGGAGATGGCAGCGCATCTAAGGCAAGGAGCCTTCACTACCAGGAACCAGGAGAGGGTTGCCTTCCAGGGACCCACAAGGGAGGCAGGACGCCACCACCACACCTAGGCTCAGAGCCTTCCGGAATCCGGAGGGGAAGGCAGCAGGGGCTGCCCCCAGGGGTGGGGCCTCGAGTAGAAGACCCCACGAAGCCCTACCCACAAGGAGGCTGGTCCCTCCCTCCTCCTGCTCCCTATGCCCATCTCCTGAAGGGGCCTCTGCTGTCTGAACCCAACCTGAATCTGAGCCGAGGGGATGCAGAGTCTACAGGTCAGCTCCTCGGGGCCAGGCAGAGAGGGGTTGACCAGGACCTGGAGGGACAAACCAAGAGGACGGGCCATTGTCTTGTTAGTGCCATCAAGACTCCGACTCCTGGCAACACTGTGGACAGCAGAGTGGAACCCTGCCCAGTCTTTTGGCACCATCCTCTCTCCTTCCGGCCTCTATCAGACGACGCTCCACTGCTATTCATAGGGTTTTCATGGCCAGTTGTCTCAGAAGTGGGTGGCCAGGTCCTTCTTCCCGGTCTGTCTTAGTCTGGACTTTAAAGCAATAAAATAAGTATCCATGGCACATGCAAGGGGCAGCTAGAAGCTGTCTACGCTTTCATTTTACTCTCAGTGGTGTTGGAGAAACTCATTTGTACTAGTTGCTCAGGCTGCCATAACAAAGGACCCCAGAAGGGCCTTTACAGGCCCCATTTATGTCTCCCTGTCCTGGAGGCTGGAATCTGAGATCCAGGTGTCACAGGGCTGGTTCCCCCTGAGACCTCTCTCCTTGGCGTGTAGACCCCGTCTTCTTCCTGTGTCCTCACATGGTTGTCCCTCTGTGCGTGTCTGTGTCCTCATCTCCTCTTCTCATAAGGACACCAGTCTTATTGGATCAGGACCCACCCTCACGACCTCATTTTACCTCCATCACCTCTTTTAAGACCCGTCTCCACATACAGCCCCATCCTGAGGTCCTGGGGTTTAGGACTTCATCATAGGAGTTTCAGGATCGGGGGACACAAACGTTCATTCATGACACCAGTAAACCTTCCACTTGAATCGTTCAAACTGATCATGATCTAAGAATGTCCTGACATTCAACAAAAACCTCTGTAGACCTTGATTTCTGAAAGCTCCATTATGAGTAGGACTCAGGTACAGCCGTGCATCGCTTAACGACGGGGACCAGTATGAGTAATGCATTGTTAGATGATTTTGTCATTGTGTGAGCATCATAGAGTGACTTACACAAACCTGGATGGTGCAGCCTACTACACACCTGGGCTATATGGTACTAACCTTATGGGACCACCATGGGATATGTGGTCCGTCATTGACCGAAACATGACGCGTTCCAGTGCACAACAGTATATATTATTCAGCCCCTTACCACTGGCACTGAAGGTCTCGGCGTGCTTTGCCCGAGCTGTTGAGGGTTTTCCTTGCCCGTTATTAATCTTAGGAGGGACCATAAAGGCATGTAAACCAACGTATACATGAGCCACTGCCTGTGCGAATTAACATAATTAAGTCGTCCACGGGCACCCAGCCTGGTCCACACACTGCTCCACAAACAGGCTTCTGCGGTGGAATTTCGTGAAAACCACCGCCTTCCTGAGCTAACAGCAGAGCAGAAAGACTGCATAAAGCATAGATTTCCCCTGCAGGGTTCATTCGCTCATGTGTGTTCTCCATCCACAAGCCTTCTCCTCCCGCCTCCACCCCGTACCTTTCCAGGACCCAGCTGGGCTACATTCTTCATAACCCCATGGCTCCTGCAGAGAAGACCACACAACCCACAGTCCTGCCTTTTGGAAAACCTCAATCAGGGTCACAAACACAAGTGCTCACAGGGTTGCATAGACGAGTGAAGGACACTGAGTATGAGAGGATAAAAATCTTGAGTCTTGAGATTGGGAGATGATCCTGGATGATCCAGCTGAGCCCGGTGTCCTCACAAGGGTGCCTATAAGAGGGAGGCGGGAGGGTCAGGGTCAGAGAAGGAGATGATGAGACGATGGAAGCCCTTTGCAGGGCTTCATCCACTCCAGAGATGGAGTGATGCCCTTTGCAGACCGAAGGAGGGGCCGTCGGACAAAATACACAGGTGGCTCCTAGAAGCTGCAAAAGGCTAGGAAGTGGATTCTCCTCTGGAGCCTCTACAAGGAACCAGCCCTGCCCACACCTTGACATTAGCCCAGGGAAATCCACGTCAGACTTCTGATATCTAGAACTGTAAGATAACCAGTCTTTGCTGTTGTAAGCCGTTAAGTCTGAGATGATTTTTTACGTCAGCCGTAGGAAGCTAACACACGCCCTAGAGGCAGGCGTCTGCCCACTGCCCAGTTCAGGGTGGAGGGAAGCCCACCAGATAAGTGATAGTCGGGAGACAGCCTCGGAGGTTCAAGTTCGCCTCCGGCCAGAATTCCTCACCCCTGTCCTGAGGCCCCACAGCACGTCACCCTCCTGTGACGGGAAATACCACCTCCTTGCTCTCGTTTTTAAAATACACGCTCCCCTGGTCGTTGTGAGCAACAGTGGACAGGGATGAACTATAT